ATATATATACCAGAAGTGCGTCTATCCTTGCATCCACTTCTCAGCCGTCTTTATTGTGAGTAGCACCATGTCAACATGTCAATGTTTGAAATTGCAACAAATGAAAGCAAATTGTGTGAGTGTGATCTGAACCTAATTTGCATAATATGCAGATGTGCAAGAATAAAATTTCGTTTGTCCATCCAATGACTAAGCTTTTTACTGTAAGTACATCCGTGTATGCAAATGTTTGTACGTGTGTGTGTGTGTGTGTGTGTGTGTGTGTGTGTGTGTGTGTGTGTGTGTGTGTGTGTGTGTGTGTGTTTTTTGGTACAGTGACATCATTGTGTTTTAATTACACTCGGCTTCAAAGATAAAGAAATATTAACCCTTTTTTAATAACTCTCGAATTTATTTTTTGAATTTTTTTTTAAATTTTGATTATCTGCTGAGGTGTGTTTCGATCAATAAAGGTGTAACGTCTGTGTGTTTTCTTTTCTTTCAACAGCGATTAAGAGTCTTCGCAAGTTGAATCTGAACAGCACTAACTTGTCGGCACTAACATTTGAAGGACTCAAGGTTTGTATTTTGTTTTTTTACTTCGATTCTAATTAGTTGCAGGATTTTGAAATATAATTGATGAAAAACTGTGTGTGGTGTAGGTAGGCAGATTTCTTGTTAAAACGTTTTTGTAGCTCCATTTTGTTAAGTGGAAACATAGGCTCTGTTCTGTTTTCTACAATGACAAGTGTGGTGCTGTGACAGTTTCTGTCATGAGAAGACGGGATTCCATGATCATGTCTAGAAGTCATCAGATTGCTGTAGACATAAACTGAAGTCAGGGGAGCACTTTTCTTTTCATTTGTACGTTTTGAAGGGGACAGAAAAAAGGCTGAAATAACTAAAAATAGTCTGTCAGTGCTATATGTGAGGCAGCGTGGTGATATCAGGCGCTCGTCAAAATAATAAAATTGAAGAAACAGGCATTTTTCGTCCAGTGTGACAATATTTATTGAATTTTTCTATTTTGTCTAAACACCTTTTATATACGTACAAAAACATATTTCTATGTTCATTTTATTTAAAAACATTGAATAATCGCTTAAAATATGTACATTCAAGGACTCTCAAGCTATAGAAGTTACCAGAATTTGGCGTCCATTTTCTCGCTAATTTTACCTCTGAAAACAAGCGACCCTGACCTTTTTCAATCGCAAATATTTCGACTTCTATTCGGCATAGATGGATATTTTTTTCACCAAACGGAAGGCAAATGAACAAGCTTTAAGATGATACCAACAACCCCATATGCCAAAAAATTGACGAGCGCCTGATTCCACCACACCGTGACACATATTTTTTTCATATCCGCTGACAGGAAGTCTGTTCTATTATTTCGAAAAAGTGGGTCGGCCAAGAATTTCTTGTCTTTTCATTACTGGATTGGAATAGATAGCGAGCCACTCGAGGCGTATTTTGTGACTCTGGGTCCAGCGAGGCCACGTCCGCGATCCGCAAAATGCGGCTCACGGTAGGAAAAGTGTTAAAGGATTTTGTTTGTTAAACTGTTGTTAGACAATTGATGATGACATCAAAGTCACCTGAACATTATATTGTTAGTACAAGGGTGATGTGCTGTGTAGAATGTATATATATAGAATGTCTTCTCACTGTATTTGTTATGTATGTACATATATGTTCTAATCAATTCTAGATGTTGATGAGTATTTGTCATACAAACAAGCCTACTGCAAGATGTGAGGAAAATCTATTCTTTAAAAAAAAAAAAAAAAGAATCCCCAGAAAATAATTGGGTGTGCAAAGTACAATCTTTCCATTTTTGCTAACATCGTGCGGCTTATTAGAATTCTCTGGTGGGTAGGGAAATTGAAAGTTGTAATGTTTCTTCCTCCATGAACACAAAAAATTGAGTCACGAAGTAAACTCACAATCTGCAAGTTTGGCGTCACCAATTACTATATTTCTGGTGTCAGACGAGAGCATGGATCAAATTAAAATAACTTTGTACTTCTAATTAAAAGTTTGCCCTTTCTTGAAAATATCACTTTTTTTGTACAACCGTTAGGACAACCAGTGCACTCTTGTGACGCTGAATAATCATCTGATTTACCAAGCTATTTCCCGGAATTTTATTGACCGCGCTCATTCTATGGTTTTACCATGCAACTTTTCTTCAATTCTCCCTCTCTTTCTCTTTTTCATTTTTCTATGTCTTCCTATTCTTCAATTCTCTCTTTTTTTTCTGTCTGTCTGTCTGTCTGTCTGTCTGTCTCTCTCTATCTCACTCTCTTTCTCTCTCTGTCTCTCTCTCTCTGTCTCTCTCTCTCTGTCTCTCTCTCTCTCT